GGAGAGGATGGCGGAACAACAAGAGTGGGACTCGCGCTCGCCAAGTGGCGTTGATATGACACTGTTCCGTTTCAGTCAGTGTTCCGCCACAGCTCCACGAGCGCTCGCGTACTCGCGATTCATTGAAGCCGACTGAATCGCGAATTGCCACTCTCAAATTTGACGAGCAGGATCCAGCCCTACCGGGGTGAGAGGTAGATCGCATTTCTATTCTCACCCTGGGTGAGAATAGCCACTTCCCTCTAGACCTAGATCTAGAATCTAGATTCTAGATCTAATCTAGATCTCTAGATCCTAGATCTAGATATATATCTACAATACAATAGAAGATTACAATTAGAACTAATCTAGATTCTAGATCTAGATCTAGAATCTAGATCTCAGATCTAGATATCTAGAAATCTAGATCGATCTAGATCTAGATATAGATTCTAGATATCTAGATCTAGATATAGATCTAGATATAGATATTAGATATTAGATCTAGATCTAGATCTAGATCTAGAGATTCTAGTTCTTTCTTGGTTCTTTCTTGGTCTTAGCCAACTTGGGGAATCCAAATCTGAACGGATCTAGATTCTAGATCTAGATCTAGATCTAGAGATTCTAGATATCTATCTAGATCTAGATCTAGATATATCTAGATCTAGATCTAGATCTATATTATAAAGAACAGCAAGATTTGAACCTCGACATTTCATTAGGCTTGCCTTGAGCCTTACCTCTCTAGATCTAGATAGATCTACAGATCATCTAGAATCTAGATATTACAAGTGTACCCTAGATCTAGATCTAGATCTAGATCTAGATAGACTGGACATAGATATCTAGATTCTAGATCTAGAATCTAGAGTCTAGAATCTAGATCTATATATCTACTCTAGATTCTAGACAGATGAAGACGAGAAGATTCCTCTAGACTCACCAGTCAGATTAGTAGTAGAGTCGAGATGCAAAATTCCTAAAACTAAAACTAAAAAGTAGGGGGAAAAGTCACGTCTCATTCTTCCGCTTTCTAAGCGAACTGAACAAATGAAAACTAAAAGTACTTACCGACTGACACGCCTAAACAAGTGAACCGATAACAGTACACCGTCCACTAATGCGACCAAGGGCCAGGTTCAGAGTTTACAGATGAATTAATCTCTCTCTTGGCCCAATGTTGTAGCAGTTGCATGACCTTTCTTCCGCTCCAACTCTTAAGGCCTCTTCACACATTTGTATTCTAACTACACACATTATCATCAAAATATAGTTCAACAAAGAACATTAGTCTGGGGTCACTGACTGTCTTTTGTTTCACTCGTCATTTATCTTTAGATAATAAGTAGCAAAAACGTGAGTTTGCTTATCATAAGAGCTCGACAGTATATTTTGTTGCAACTTTCAACTTTGTATCAATGCGCTTCCCTTTGTCTTCCTGTTAACCTGACGTCATGGGAAAGTAGGCTACACAGACGGGATCCTGTTAGCCTTGTGTTACTGCTAGCTCGATCGCATAAAATGACCCAACTAAGGTCTCTACTTCTACAAAGTAAGACAAAATTCTTGCATTTTTATCAAGAATGTCGTCCTATTACAACCCTATGGTTATTTATCTTTTTGTTACAGAATACTCGAACTATAATTGAATTCCTGGCAACAAAACGAAGACAGAAAGCACACATCTTGAAAACACAGCCGCTGACCTTAGGTCGAAGGTCAATCTATTTTTAGCAATTCTTGTGTTGGGGAAAATCGTCGCCTGCGGGGTGTTATTGTTTACAGATTAAGCAAATGACCACGTGTTGCGTCAAATGCGACATTGGGACGGTTTGGAAAAGTCAGCTGGATAGTCGGCGTCTGTCATGCAAAAGTGTGTCCTGTAACTCCTTTGTTACTAATTGTCCACCTATCGCATTTGCTCCCTGAAAAATTCAGGAATACGAGACAATTGCCACTCCTACTCTCAAATCCGAGAAGGGCATAAAAAATTTCATCACACACACTACTCACACCCACACCTCACACTTGTCATGGGTGCAGTAGTAAGAACGTATAGGTGCAGATCTCTCTGACCGTCTAGGTGCAGATGCAGACAAGAAAATATGGTTTTGAGAGAGGAAGGAGTTAAGTTCTTGCGGCAAAAATTTTATAAACGTTTTTATCCGAAAGTCTGCAGCAAGAAAGGGCAGTTTCGTTTCTGTCCTTTTATTCTTTAGGAGATAGATCTAGATGGTTGATGGTCATTTATTTTGTCTGACACTACTGGCAGGCGTTCAACGCTCACGATCAGCTGATTCCCTAAGACTTTTTGTTAGAACTTAATTGGTTCGACTTTGAAGTGGACCTAGATCTATAAGAAGAAACGCATCGTTCCGTTATTTAGTCTCGTTATAATTACCTCAAAACATTTTTTCAGTTGATGTTTGTATATTATTTTTTTATATATTGTTTAAGATTTAAGACCAT